TGGGGAGGACCGGCTGGAGATTGGATGGGAACGCCTGCCCCTGCCCGCCACGGACATCCTCGGCTACGTCTTGCCCACCCCCTCTACGGCCTCCTATGAAATTCGCGTGGATGGAGGGGGGGAGCTCTACCCGCCGAGGACTTTTTTACCCACCCAGACGGCCGGCGAGCTGGACGAGCTTCGGGCGGGGACGCGGTACGTCCTTCGTCTGCGCGAGCTCTCGCGGGATGGGCTGTGGGGGTGCCCGTCCGAGGGTCTCGTCGTGCGAACGGCCGAGGTCCCTGTCCTCGGGCTTGTCACCGCTGGCGAGAAATTCAGCATCCTCAGCTGGACGCGTAGCACTGCGGACCTCGCTGAGGAGCGCTGCATAGAGTTTAAACTGCGAAGTCTCCACACAGCCTACCAAAAGAACGCCACGATTGAGCTTACCGGGGAGGGAGAGCGGCTCCTCTGCGTGGAGGGATTGCTTGCGGGATCGGATTATTCGGTTTCCATTCGGATCCAGCTCAAAGGAGGCATGTGGGGTTTGTGGACGGAGCCAATGCGCTTCTCGACACTCCCGCGCCCGACGTTGAAGGTTTTAGAGTGCGGTGAAGATTTCTTTTCTGTCGCGCAGCCCAGACGCGGGTCTGGGGATATGCAAGAAGCTAAAAGCGCGAAGTATCATTTATTGGTGAGGATGCACGCGCAGGATGGCAATGGAAAAGTGAAGAAACAAAAGACAGAGGGCGAAGAGGAAGAGGAAAAGAAGGAAGAAGAAGAAGAAGAAGCATTAAAGGAGGTTTTCAGCGAGGAATTTGACTACCGCGAGGACAACCCGACGATTCGAATCAGCGACCTCAAATCGAACACAACTTATGAGCTGTGCTGTAGTATCTGGGAGGAGAATCCTTTAACGGAGGTGGGTGATTGGGGGGAGTTTTCCCTTCCCATATGCCTCACCACGCTCCAGCCGGTATCCGTGAAGGTGTTCGATTTGGGCGAATCCTTCGCGCTCATCCAATGGCATCACAATTTCCGGGGACCCTCTTCTTGTTCCCCCCTTTCTTCTGCGAAGAATGGCAAGGACGCGAATGAGCGACGCACGGGGATTCTCGACACGCACAGTCATTTTGAAGTCCTCGTGGACTGTTTGGATACACAGGAGGAGGGCATCCTCCACAAGCAGGTCCTTCAAACGGACTACACCCTCACGAACCTTTCCCCCGCGACCCGGTATCGCGTGTCGGTGCGGTCGCTGAATGAGAAGGGGACCTGGACCTCCTGGAGGCGGCTGGTGCTCCGCACCCTGGCCCCTATTACGACCACAATTCATGAAATCGGCGAGGATTACGTTCGCCTATCATGGCAGCGTCTCCCCCTCCCATCCTCCGATCTCGACGAGGCGGCGAAGGGTGTGCAGGTGTTGAGCGCGGACTCTTTTATTTCGCACTACGCCGTCTTGGTTTACAGCAGGGATCCGCTGGAGTTGAAAGCGGCTGTGGAGGATGTGGATGTGGATGTGGATGCGGGGGAGGCGGAGGCCGGCGAGGCGGCGCTCACGAGTCCCTCCGTTCTCGAGTATAAAGAGGCGGAGGAGGCTGATATTCAGCGATATCGCCTCCTGCCGAACGACTTCACGTCCCTTCGCGTGGTGGATTTACAGCCAGATCGCGAGTACGTGGCGGTGGTGCGGGCGCAGAACGTGTCGGGGGTGTTCGGGATGTGGAGTACGCCGGTGGTATTCCGCACGAATCCGCAGTTTTGCATCCTCGCCGACAGCCTGGAGGTCGGGGAGAACTACATCCGCCTGGCGTGGGGGCGGGACGAGCGCACGGTGACGCTGTCCGACCCCTCCGTGCAGGTCCACGACCTCGCGGTGACCGCGCAGGAGCTGCGGGTGCGCGGGGCCGACGGCGGCCTCCGTCAGGAGCACCCCCTCACGGCCTCGGCGCGGGAGCTGACGCTGCGCGGGCTCCAGCCCGAGAGCGCCTACACGATTC